TTGAAAACGATCAATACGCCAAAGAATTATGTATCCTCTAGAACTTTTAATAATAAAAAGACGATTGAGGTTGCGATCTCGAGTAAGAACTTTGCACTTTATGCTACCTCACACACTAATGCATTCGTTTTAGTCGTTAGTGATGTGATGTGCGTTTTCTCCACGGAGACCGAGTTTTAGCTTTTATCACAAAAAGCATTGAATTGCGGTGTGAAGTAATTCTTTATTTAAAAAGAAAACAGCTTGGTTTAAAAAGAGTTAGTAGTCACCTCGTCTAAATCTAGTTTCTATTTTTGTGGTAATTCCATTTTCGAGAAAAACGCGAGCGTGCGTGCTCTACTAACTCCATAACTAAATTGTTAGTTAAAAATGCATGCAGATGGGAAATGGCGTGTCCTACACGCACTTGCAAGTCTGACTGTGAGATGCGTGTAAATTACTCGGATTAAGTCAACTACAACTCATTAAATGTGTTTACTGAGACAATTAGATTCCAAATTATTCATAAGATTTTTGGCCAGCATCAGCCAGTAACCGCACTTCGTTGGGTTCCTTATTCATGAAACGAGGAATGAAGAATTGCTCAAATGTATGAAGAATGCTGAGCTCTACTAGGGTGATCTCCTCGTCCAAACCTGTTCATGGGAGGAGCACCTTAAGACCCTCCAAGGGCTGTTTAGACGCCCAGCTCAGGCTGGCATGACGATTAGACCAAGTAAGTGTACCTTTGGTGCCGCCAGCATCGATTTCGCTGGCCACGAATCACAGCCGGGCTTAATTGGTGTGCATGAGGATAATGTCGTTAAGATCAGAACAGCTCCAAGACCAACGACTCAAGAAGCAGGTTCGATCCTTTATGGGATTGGCAGGATATTACCGAGATTTTATCCCCAACTTCGCAGCTATTGCAGCCATCCTTTCTGACCTTACGCGAAAGGTTCAACCAAGTAAAGTGGAGTGGGGTGACACCCACGAGAAAGCCTATCAGACTATTAAGATTCTTCTCACCATTGATCCAGTCTTATGTCTACCGGATCCTGAAAAGACCTTTGTTCTAAGGACGGATGCTTTAGACTACGGGATTGGTGCAGTTTTGATACAAGAGCATGAGGGCAAGTTGTTTCTCATCTGTTATGCAAGTAAAAAGTTGAGTGACGCAGAGGGTAATTATTCTACAATAGAGAAAGAGTGCTTAGCAGTTGTGTGGGGTATCAAGAGATTTCATGTGTATCTATATGGTGT